CCGACCAGCTGAACGTGCCCTTTCTCTCATTTTAATCTTACCTCTCTCGGTGGCAAGATTGCCATAACCACGCCCCTTCTGACGCGACCGTCGGATTGAGGCCCGGGCGCGAAGGGCGGCGTTCGAGTCATCCTGACGCAAATGATTGACAGCTAGGCCGGCCTTTGCGCGAGGAGGAGGAGGGAGGAGGAGGAGGAAGCGGCTCGCGCTGGCCGGGGCCGCCGCAGCCTCGTTAGGGCTGGATGGATCTGTTCGGGGACCTTCCGGAGCCAACTCCTCCGGCAGTCGCAGCAGTAGGTGAGCGGCGGGTACCTTTCGGGCTCGGGCCACCATGTTGGAGGGGGAGTCGGCCTGAGTCTGCAGGGAACAGGAGAGCTGGGTCAGCCTCGCGCTCCCAGGAGCCTTAGGTTTGTCTTGCTGCAGCTTGCACGTGTGCACTCAAGAGGCCTTTACACGATCACGCCCCTTCCCAAGGAAGAAGCAAAGGCGACTGTAGGAGGGCTTGTGGTGTTTGGGTACTGTAATGCCCAGAATTAACCCCGCTCTGCCAAGCACGATTCAACACGCATGCGCATGCGAACCCGTAGGGAAATGCACGCGTCGCGTATTGACACTCGGGGGTGACCTCTGGCGGGCACAGGTAATAATACTTAAGCAGCACGGGCGGGTCGTGGTATTTATCTGTCCTGACCCCAAGGAACAGTGATTCCCGCCAATTGATGATAGAATTAGCCCTAGGATCTTGCTGCTGCTGCTGCTGCTGCTATTATTATTATTATTATTATTATTATTATTATTATTATTTTGAAGTCTGTAAGAAGTAATGTGTAAAAACTGGACATTCACTGAATGGCAACAAAGAGATGCCGAAAACTACTGTATTAGATATTTGGTGCCACCTAATGGTCGTCTGAACTTTTGCAGCCCTATCTGGTAGCCCTAGTAATGTCTTTTAATATTGTATGTTAATAGATTTCTCTGTATTTGGTTTGACTTTATGTAGAGAAAGAGGGACAGAAAGGATCTTTGCTTTTTGATGATCTTCCTCCAGTCAGCAACACTGATTTGGGTATGGTTTTCGTCTATGTCTTGAGTTTTGCTGAATTCTCTTGCTTTCTCTCTGTCAGTTGAGTCCTTGTGCAGAGTTCCCCTCAGTGGGCATGGAAATGCAATAGGTTTCTCTGGCCTGAATGACCAAGAATCTGCAAGCTTGTTCCTCTGGCTGCTAGTAAAAACAGGGCAATGGCTCTGTTGGGTTTTCCTGTTGGCTAATTTCAACTTTCACTTTCTTTATTCTGTATGGACTCCTTGTTTGCATCATATTGGTGCAAAGAGGCATCTTGCCCAGTCCTTTTTATCTCTTACACTTCTTTACTACAAGCTTAATATTACTTTCCTTATGCAAGTCTCTATTCTGCGAAGCATTTAGATTCGGTTAGTTCCCCCCCCCAACAGTGGAACTAGAAATAATAGAAAAACTGCTGGGTAGCAGAAAAGAAAAAGCTGAATCTTAAGTTCTGTATTCTCCAATGTGACTGAAACTTCTCTTTTACTCTACCTTTGTGCTGTAATTGTACAGCTAACATGGTAGAGAGATGCTGGCCATAACTACTCCATAGTTATTTAACTCTTTGGAGCTTTTTCCTGAAAGGGAACATCTTTAGATGGAGAAGCTAATGGAGCATCTTTAGAAATACATATTGTGGGGGAAGAGCCATTGGTTGCTGGAGTAACACGTATTTTGCATGGAGAAGATCCCAGTTTCATTTCCAGGTGAGGCTGGTACAGATTCCTGCCTAGAGAGCTCCTACCAGTCATTATCGCCAATACTTGTCTGTCAGAATCGCAGACGGTTGATATCAGTTTTCTCCTGAAGCACAAAGCACAATGCCAATTCTTAATTTACTTTTTATGAAATGCTACTGTCACTTAAATTAGCAGTTCTTACCTCTAGTTATGCCTCTAGTCTATGCCTCTTTTTATAAACCATATTTCAACATGAATAACGGGCATAGTCTTTTGAAAATATCTGAAAAACTATTTCAGTAAGGCTTGCTTCTAGGTAAGTCAGTCTAGGATTGCAGTTCTAGTACTTGTCCCCTCATTTTATAAGCTGGATTTAGTGCCATACCTTGAATGGGTATAATGTTAAGTAGCTCTTAAGCTTGGCAGAGTAGCATTGTAGATGAAACTGTCCAGAATTCTGCTTACTGTGGGATTTGATTTGGGATGTGTATTTCATTGTTTTTTAGGGGCAGGAGGCTCTTTGCTATTTGATGACCTCCCACCTGCCAGCAGTGGCAACTCAGGTGAGCTGTGCCTAGATTTATTTTGCTATTTATTGCACTGCTCTGCGAGAGTTATAGTTGAGTGTTACATATTTAAGTACCCAAGGTTTACACTAAATGCTCACAGGCAAATGTGTCTAAAATGATACTAGAAGAAAGGGTAAAATGTCTCCTGACACTTTCCTTTTTTTCAGATTAGAGAATATCGGTGCTGATCATCTTTTTGTTAAGATACTAATTACGTACTTGAATAGGATGAGATTACTCTACTGCTGTTTGAGGCCACAGGTTTCTACATATGTATTCCCAGGATCTATAGTTGTAGAGAAATAGTGGTCACGGAATAGGTTCAGCATGTTCCCTGATTCAATTTGTCCACTCCAAATCCACCTTCTAAAGCAGTTCTTGTATTTTATTGGCCTGCATATCCATGTGGTGTATAATTAGATCTTTTTACTTCAGTTTTAAATTTCAAAATGTGTGACAGCCTTGGCTTTTGATTTTAAACTATTAAAGCCAATCTGAGCTAAAGGGAAAAAAACAGCATAAATAGGTGACAGAATAATAGTAGTCCAGAATGCAGCAGCATGTGCAGTTTTGGGCACATCACGGCGTGCCCACATAACACTGCTGCTGTGTGAGTTGCACCAGTAGGCTTCCAAGTGCAGTTCAAGGTGCTGGCTCCCTTTAAGGCCTTGCATGGTACCGGGCCAGGTTTCTTATGGGACAGCCTGTCTCCAATGCTTTCTGCATGTCCCATCAGATTTGGCAAGGTAGGCATGCTTCAGGTCCTTTCTGTGAAACAAGATCATCGAGTGGGAGCAAGGGAGCATCCTTTCTCTGTTGCAGCCCTTGTCCTTTGGAACAGTTTTCTCCCTGAGATCCGGATGGCCTTGGCCCTGGCCCTCAGGCACGGGGGCCCAGTTGTTAGTGGAGTCCAGCATATGTATTTGGTTTGTGCTGTGAACCAGTTTGCAAGGCATCTCATTCACTGCTAATTATATGTAGCCTTATGGCTTTTACGTTATGTTGTTTTATAAACTGATTTTGTTAGTTGCCCAGAACTGTTTGGCTAAGGTGGGTGGCCATATAACTTCTATAAATGAATAAATAAATAATGACCTTTTGTTTTTCAGCTTCTCATCCCACAGAGCACGTTTCTCTTCCTGTGAGCTATGGGAAGGGAGAGAAGAGGAAGTCCACTGAAGGAGAGAAGAATGGGAGTGAAGAACTTGTGGAAAAGAAAGTTTGTAAAGGTTTTCAGACACTCTGAAGCCAAATATTTTGTTCTATTCTAGTGCTGCTTTAAATGACAACAAAGGTGAAATTGTTTTCCTATGACAGTGTTGCTTGTAGCCAGTCATAGGAGTGGGAGGAAATACTATATGTGGATGAAATCCTTCCTGGGTGTTTCTGCCTCAGTGGAGTTTGGGTTTCTCCCTCCTTAAGGGTACCAGTGCAAATCCTTTTTCACTTATCAGTTACAATTGTGCTGCTATCGTACATGTTTGCTGCATTTCTTCAAAGAACCGAGGACAGTCAGCATCAAGTATTACCCATTTTTTCTCACAGTTGCCATAGTCAGAGTTCTTATTTTTAAAAAAATAAACTTACAGATTGCTTTTTAACCTGCTTGGATTCTGTTTGCAAAAACAATATATGCATAATTCAGATTAGGGCAGTGACTTATCCACATTATCTAACATGATTAGTACAAATTTGAAGGCTATCCCAAATCCCTAATTTTTGTTCACCCTGCCACATATACTTCTTTTTTGTGTTGCCAAATATATATTATTCAGCACAACATGACTTAGTTGCCCCTGTATTGTGCACTTCCTAATGTCATCTTGCCTAATACATTTTGTTAAGTCATGGTTTTAACCATGGTTTGCAATGATATAAATCATTGACACAACACATGATTTATAAGCTATAGTGAATGGGTTCAGACATCAAACTTAAAGCAATATAAATATGCAGTGTGTGAAGCCTGTCCTTACTTACCCTCCTTAACTATGTCTTAGTAATGCAGGGAGCATCATAGCTAACCTGCATCAGTTTAGATATAGAAACCCAAACACGGTCTCTGAATTCTTCACCTGAATTGTAATGTGATGACAGTTGGATAAGCTTTTCTTAGCATCATCTGCATGTTCAGCCATCCCTAGAGTGCACTATTTTGATATGCTCTCTGATGCAATTGGGCTGAATTTCAGCTGTACAATTCAGCAGTGTGATGATCAATCTATTACTATGGTGAGCTTCAGGAATTTAGTATATTTAGTAAAACCTAGCTCCAACAGTTTTGGGGTTCTCCCTGCTTCTGTGCCTCCAGAGCAGGACACTTCTGTCAGCCATGATGATGATGATTGGTGTGTTCTATCAAAACTGCAGGGACACTCCCAATGTTGCTGCCATAGAAAACATCTTCAGCCATAGGTACCATACAGGGACTATTTATAATTTGAATATAGTTTATAATCAAGAGTTTGTCAGAATTCTGCTTCCTTAATTGTGCTAGGTGACTGTAGTGCTTTTATACAGGAAACAAGCTGAGGGATTGAATCTGGTGTGCATCTTTGCTCTGTTTTTGTTTAGGTGCTGCAGGTATTCTTGGTCTGAAGGGTTATGTAGCAGAGAGGAAAGGTGAGCGAGAAGAGATGCAAGATGCCCATGTTATTCTCAATGATATCACAGAAGAGTGCGGCCCCTTGTCCTCTCAAATGTGAGTCTTAAGTTTATATTTACACTTTTTGATTGGATTCTTATGTTTTCCTCCTACTTAAACCGGGACAGGTTTAATTGCCTTGTCTGGATGGTGATTTCAGCTGGTTGATTTCTTTAACCTGTATAATGCTATAATCATACAAAAAGTGTATTTTCTTTTAAGTGTCACTGATTTTGGAAAGCATGACAGAAAAGAGAGTCCAAGACATCCAAAAAAGCACATCAGAAATACTTTTCACTCTGGAACTTTCTGTTTTTTAAAATTCAATTTTTGCAAAATGAAATAACAACAGACCCAACCCTAGAGAAATAATTAAGAAGAAAAATAAAACATTAACACCCCCCCCAAAACAGCCTGAAGAAAAGAAAAAAAATATCGATAAGCATGTATGTTCATTGCTCACTCTCTGCATGCATGTATACACACATACACACACATGCTCTTTTTTTAATAGACACATTCTAGAATTAGGTACCCTTTGAGTTTCCACCTTATTCCAGACTAGCATTTCTGTTTGATTGTTAATTTAACATCTTTAGCATGATTTTCCCACACGGAAGATAAAGTTAAACCTTGTGTATAAAACAATTTGACATCACGGTCTGCATGTGCTCTTTCTGCAAATACTTTGCAAGGTATTGATAATAGTAATAGAATACTAATTTTTATTTACTGTGCACTTATATCTAGATGCAGCACAGGTAAAACAATGAAATATAACTCAGCATAAACTAATACCAGCAAGAAAACAGTACAATAATCAATAAAATAATAAAATTTCCAAATACCAGCACAACCATTATTTAAATCTTTGTAGGATAATAGTAAAGAAAGTTCTTCCTACATAAAGGTTCTGAGAAAACAAATACTTCAAGAGCTTTTTCAAACTTAAAGAGATCAAACTCCAAACTAGTTCAAGGGGGAATTTATATATATTTGTGTTGAGGACGAGGAGAAAAATTAATCCTGTAGTAGTGAAGTGTAGAATTTTCTTATATAGGTACTGGAATCTTTTCATAGCTGAGCTCTTGAGGGAACTCTTGGAACTGGAAAACGTAAGATGAATGCTTTTTGTTTTTCTGAGGCTAGGAAACTGATTCCCATGTGTAGATTGCAGGAAAGACTATTTTTTGCTGGACCACATATTACATTTTCTGCAGTTCTGCCGATGGATGCAAATTCAGTATCTTGGCCAGTTCCAGAATGAGAACAATCTGTCTCTGTATATTTTTTTACAGAACCCGTGTCTCGTATTTTGCTGTTTTTGATGGCCATGGAGGAGTTAGAGCTTCAACATATGCTGCACAGAATCTGCATCAAAACCTGATCAGAAAATTTCCCAAAGGTAAGAAAATATGGTAGTATTCTTTGAGTTCTACTCCTGTAAGGAGCCACATATTGACTTGGATCTGTTAATGCAGGTAAACTTATACTATCCTTGGGAAGATATACACTGATATGAGTGTATATATAAGGTAATTAAACAGTAGCAAGCAGTATTTGGAGGATAATTTGGGTAAAACTGAACCTGAATCATTAATCTGA